CCTTTATAATTTACCGTATCGCAGGTGAGATCGTATTTTTTGTTAAATGGCCACATCCAAATCAACAGGAGAGTGTCGGGCTCAGCCTCCACCTCCACATCCTGGATCTTCTGGGGACCATCGGTAGGTGCTTCCTCGTGCTGCTCCGAGGAACGGTTTTGGTTTGAGCCCTGGGTCTGTGCCTCCACAGGACACACACAAGAATGATTTCCTCTCTTCAGATAAACACTGAAATCAGGGAACTTGATTTCAAACTTGTAGTATGTTAAAAAAATCACAAAGAAACACACCAACAGTACGCAGCCAAAGGCAATTTGGCGCGGACGAGTCATCTGGCAGCTTGAGAAGGACATGGTTCACCTCTGGAGAGAAAAAAGGTTGTGTTTGATTTTTGATTTGAATATTTCTGTACACAGGTTGTAACTTTGAGCCCACACTTCAGTTAATACAATAAGTGTATTTTATGTCAATTTCTAAATTTGCTTTCAACAGCTAATACATGAATGTAGGAATTTTGACTAGAACTTGTTCTAAACTTGTCTGTTTGGAATGGGCTGTTTGTTTTGCCTGTGGTGAAACTGGGTGCAGCTTTTCTTTCTGAAACTGTGAAAGTGACCCTTAGTAATCGTAACGTCACTTGGTGATGTTATTGGAGATTTTCTCTACAAAAAATCCATATCATAATACCTGTGACGTTTTTCTCAGTCAAAAATTCAGGAGTTGCATTTCTTATATACTGTCAATGGCTAAGTAGGCAACTGGAATGACTTGTTTTTGTTGAAACCCAAGTACCATTCCATATGTTTCAGCGCATTCTCTGCTGTGTATCACAGTCTTTTCCGTGTCTTTTTTACTAAAGTGACAAGAAAGTCGAAATTCCTTAAGGTACCGAATCACTAATTGTCACATTTACAATTTCACATTTATAATAATAGATTTTGACTGCTGGCATTTTTAAGCCTCAACGTCTAACCCTAACCCGCACTAACTCCAGATTTCCAACAAATTTTGGCCAGAATGCATTGCACAAATAATAAAAGCACAAAATCCAACTAAAAATGATTGAGGAAAATGAAAGATGTGCAGCTTCATGAGTAAGATGAAGCACCTTCCAGATATTTTTTACAGCCCTGCCAAATAACACTGTATAACACTCAAATCTGGGCTCGCGTCTAAATGAACAGCAGAGGCAATAATAAAGGACGACGATACTGTGTGTTTTCATGAACATCAAACTCTAATGACCAAACTATAAATAGAGAAACCAATAACTATCCACCACATTTCTCCTAGACATAATACAAACTGCTCAGTACTTTTAAAATTAAAAATGTTATTTGTAATAAAACGTATGACAATTGTACAGAGACTCCATTAAGGTAAAGCCATAAACATGACAGTCTCACCTAGATGGAGAAAAGGACAGGTACATAACAGTGAATGTGATGTTCCTCTCTGGTTGAGTCTCAGGTAGGTCTGTGGCAGCAGTTGTATCTCACCAACCTCCCCCTATCTATTGACCGCAAGGTGTTTTTCCCAACTGTGTCACCAGAGAAAGCGATATCAAATTTCTGTTTAACAGGTTTAGGCTGCAGCTATAGACAAACTTCTGTTTAACACTTTTAGGCTGCAGTCATAGACAAACTTCTGTTTAACAGGTTTAGGCTGCAG